CCCGCGGCCGCCGCCGGGGGAGGCTGCCACACGTGGTGGGGGGAGAGCGGCGCGGGTAGCGCCCTCCCCGGGGCCTCCCGCGGCGCTCAGGGGTTGCCCCGGTGGCCGAACGTCGGGGGGGGAGGTTGGCAAGCAACCGAAGGATTGCCCCCACCCCCGGTGTGGTGGTCATTCTCGCAAAGGAACCAACGTCGTGTGTGGGGCGGTTGGCTGGCTTCGTGGAGCATCAGTGTGTTTTCGGTTACTCCTGTTAGCCTTACACATAGGTGAGGCACTGCAGAATAGTAATAATAATGATGATGATAATTAATAATAATAGCAGCCGCCAGCGCGCGGCTCTGAAAGCCGCCTAGATTCTACACCTATAGCGCAGTCTGATGGAGTTGCACGTTTCTGTTCAGCGCCTTGCGCATAATAGGTTGGTGACAAGCCACGCAGGGGGTCGGGATGACTGTAAGTCTCATGGCAGGCTTCTTGGAAGGGAAATGAGTCTCCCGCTGGGCATGCAAGGGTCAGGTCTGCAGGTCAGGCTGGTAAGGCGTGGAGATGTGGATGTGGGGGGTTGGAGCACTCTGAGAGCCCCGAGAACCCCACAGTTCAACCCTGAGCTCCAGATATTCTCTTCTGTTGGGAATGGAGATGTCAGGGGCCGAGTCCGAGGGAGAAACAGTAGGAAAAACAGTGAGTTATGGGTGGGGTGGATTGCTGGGAAGGTGGGACCTTATGGTTTCAAAATGAACCTTAAGCTTGTGATAGTGAAAATGAGACAACATTGTCAGTATACAGTGGCCGTTTTGCAACTGCTGTTAATTGCATGTGCGTTCCTGTCCTGAGGAGCTGATCTTCTTAACTTAGGAGAGGGAAGGAAGTGAGGAAGAGGCAAAAGGAACATGAAATCAATGCAGACAAAAGCAGTTATGTTTTGCTTCGGCCTTTGGCTGAATGTGAATGTCCCAAGGAGAGCGCTCTCTTATCTGTGAAGAAGGAAATAGTTGTAGGTCGGGTTCTAGTAAGTGTGGGTTATTGGGGAGCTGAAAGCTTGGATTCAGATGCCATGAAAGATTTGATAAGAATCTGCCTTGAAGTGCTTGGCCTGGTGGTGTGGCTTGGAAGTTTATTTCTTTACCATATTTATAAGCTGCCCCAGTCAGCTAGGATTTGAATAGTGAACAACACGACCGGCGGTACAGCTAACATTATAATATAACATCAGAACAAAAGTTAAAACACAAGAGACACCAGTACAAGCTGCTGCAATAACACTGTTTTAATTTGCCTCCTAAATAAAAACAGGGAGGGGGCCACCGTCACTTCTAAGAATAAGGGGCCCCCACTGAGAAGGCCTGCCAACCTTGTTGAATTTAATGGTACTTCTGTTTTGTCTGGGGAGCAACTGACAGAATAGGATTTTGGAATAGTGCAGAAGTGGAGACAGTGGTATAAGGATAGATTATATAGAGAGATATGAGGGATTGTCTTAAAAGTCACAGAAGTTGTAGTATTCTGTAATTTTTTTTCTCCACATTAATTGTCTCTTTTTAATTAAAAACAGTTCAGGGCAGAATCTTAGGTTTCCTGATCAGGTTAGCTAAGATAACAGTACACAATTCATTGGAATGCATTCTTGGCTGTTTTATTGGCAAGTGAAGAAAACAAAATAGCTGTGGAGATTTGAGGGCAAGGCTGTTCACAGTTGAATTCAGACACTTTTTGCTTTGAACCATTTGAAAGCAAGTTTAAGCACTCCAAGGCCAAAACACTGTGATACCCTGAAGATGTTTGCCATGATGTCAACAGCAAGAAAACACAGTACTTCTGCCCTCTTGAAAGCTTTTATAATCTGTATTTGCAAGCATCCATTTGGATTGAATCAAGGCAAAGTTCTAAAGGATCCCCAGTTTTTTATCAAATGTAGAATGATTCTTGTTATAATACAGCTATTTGGATCTTGAATTATCAGGCAATTATTGCAAGACCTAAGTTTCTGAAACATACTATATGCTGGTAACTTGGAAGCGAGCCAATAAGTGCTGGTTGATGGAAAATATAGATTAAATGTATTGTTAAGTATTGAATCATTTTAAAATAAATGAACATGATATTCAGTTGCATTTATTTTGACCAGTCATGGAAAAGAAGGCTTGCTTGCAGGTTAGGATGTCATCAAATAATTAAAGATAATATTACACCACTAGCTCCTCCTGAGAAAATAAAGCAAATAAAAGGATTGGTGGGTGGAGGAGAGCTTGTTAAATGTATGTGCTCTCCACCCCTTTCATTCTCACACTATTAGGACCTGATGCTTTTCCAGTTGAACTTTTTTATCTGTACAGTTCATTTTTAGAGATAAAAAGAGGTGCTTCACACTGCCTATAATTAAACTATGGAATTAACTGCCATAGTGCCATAAGATGTGATAATCTTAAATGGTTGAGAATCATGTGTTTATATGTATGTCCCTACCCACAGCTGCAAATGGTACACGTTTCCTATGCAGTCACCCTTGTTCACATTTCTGTTATTGGTTACCTTTGTAGAGAGCGTGGGAGCCATTGGAAGCTACATCATCTGATCCTTGATTTCTCTGAAGGGAGGTTGACACTGGAAGAAAGTTATGGTTGCTGCAGACCCTCTTCCTTGGATCTGTTTAATTCCAGTCCTGCAGGAAGTTCTTGGTGATAACTTGAAAGTTAATGACTTAAATATCAGAGCCCCTGCATGGAAGCTGCCAAGGTTTTTTCACTTGTATTGAAGTAGCAGATTGTTGGGATAAATTTTTCAACTGTAAGTTTTAGAAGACAGGGACTTTCTTAGTATGGCACAATATTATTGAGGAAAAGGCCTTAATATATGTTTCAGTGTTTATGGATATAGTGTCTGCACATCTGTTTCTGAATATTGTTGTCTTATACAGCTTTTATACATTTGAGCCAATACAGGAGGTGAGAGGCTATTGTCCTTGTGTGTGCTCCTGATATGGATCAAGCTGCTCCTGGGTGGAGATTCTGTCATGCCTCTGAAGTTCTGTATTAATACACATTGCTACGGTTTGCTTGCTCACTTGCTGGACGGCTATCATTTCTTCTGCTTATAGCCAGCTACCCTATATATTTTAGCAAGATAACACAGGTGGAACTGGTCTTTTTTTTTTTTTTTTTGCTGTTTTATGTTAATGGTTTTGTCCTGTTACGTGCAACTGTTAGGCTTGTAATAGTCTAATGCGTATCATCAGGTCTTGGACTGTAATAAATTGTTGGTTCATTCATGAGCCTAATGTGTTGTTTCAGGGTTTAGGCTGTAGATAATATACTAATGCAGCCGATGAGTAATAGTTGAAATGAGAATTTCAACAATAATGAGAGGCCAAATAAATACTGTATTTGAGGAACTGGGTTTAGTACAACTGGAAAGTTTTCCAAGGAGGTGGGATAGAAGATGTAACCATCACTTTATAGGCAAAATAATGATTTTTGAATTTGAAGAAATTCAGCAAGCTTTTAGGTCAACGCTTTAAATATCTCTGCAACATTATGCTGGGTAGTTTAGTTGCTAAAAATTGTGTGGAAATTGAGGGGCCAACAGCAAAATGCCTGTTAAAATGTGCTGTTTTGAATCATGGAATGCATTTAAAAATAAAACAATCAAGGACCTAATTAGCAAGTAATTAGAATACAACAGGTCCTTAGAAATTACAGTAGCTAATAACCTACTTCTTATGTATGGATGCAAGAATGCTGCAGCTAAAATAGAATCAAGAGATGAAGTATGATGGGTTGATCAGACTGTTGAAGAGAGCTACCAGTTCATATGATTTGAAACAAAATTGGTTTTACTGTTTCCTCTTTTTCTGTTCTCTTTCTTTAAAATATTGGGCAAGAACTTAAATGTTTATGCTTTGGTCCTTGTCTCCCTGAAGATTAGATATAGTTATCTGTTTTCAAGCTAGGAAAATGTTTCAGAAGTGTGCTTTTCAGAGTGTCACAGCGTTTCCATTTTAAAATGTAAGGCTGCCAACCATGAGCATCTGTTGGGGCGGCAAAGAGTTGAGTGATGTCATGTGCGCCATGATGTCATTGATAAATTTGTAATTCATGCAATGGTATTGTGCCTTGTACTAGGTCCCTGTGATGTTAATATAGCCTAATCAATCAATCTTCCCTTCCTCTACCTTTATTTTGAATGACTAAGGCTCTGTTTTAATTTTATTCCAATGGTCATAATAGAAATCTTGATGTGATCATATAATTCTTGACTATAATGTGATTATTGCTATGGTATTAATACTTGGTGAAGAGTATCTTGTCTTTTGAAGTTACTTGCTCTTAGGAGTTGTTTATTAAAGCCAAAGAAGGAGAATGAATATAGCATGTGCTAATGATTTGCTTATAATGCTGCTGATTTTCCAAAGCTGTAAATGTTATTTTTGGCAGGGGTAGTATTCTGCAAGTGTACATGAAAGCAGCTAAGACAAATATTTTATTGCTTTATCAGGGGCTTAAGCTGATTTAGACAGAAGCATATTCCATAGTTCAACATCATAAGAGCAGGCTGCAGCGAGCCCTTGACTTAAATGCACCTCCTTTCTTGGGCAACTCTGAAGAGACTTAAGAGTTTTTGCTTTATTTCTTATTAACCAATATGACAGCTTGCTATTATTGTCTGAACTCAGGTAGGTTCTTGTTCTTGGTTTATGAACTTGCATTGTTTCTGTCAGCTGTAGTTAAAAGGAAAGACGTTAGAATTTTTTTGACATTTTATTAGATATTTTGAAAGAATATTAAAAATAGGTGGTACAAATATGAAAATCACATAGAGAAATATAGGCGGATAAGACACAAATTTGAAATATCATAAAACTAACATAGTCTAATACATAATTAGAAGCTTACGGTACTATAAGATATTTCATACCCATTTTCTAATCAAAATTCAGATCTTTCTATTAAGTCTTAAACTAAAGATGCTGGGTTAACACAGTTCAAATAATTAAGAGAAACTATAGGTAGTGAATAATGCATTAAATCAGTACAGTACTATAAATTATTCACCAAATTAAGATACAAACTCTTAATACACAAATTTTGGATGTGGCACAATTCCATATATAAAGGTGTAGTTCAAGAATGGTTTCCAGTTATAATTAAATGTGGGAAATTCTTTATTTTAGCAATCGACAAGCAATATACCAATAGTAAAACATCTTACTGTGTACCAATTCTAAGTATAATATTTGAAATAAATTTGATATTCTTTCATTTAAAGTCTTACTGCTGCGTCTCTGTGACTACATGGTATTTATATTCTGCATCCATTTAATCATATGGTATTTGGTTGGGAATCATGAATTTAGGGTTTGCTGAGGTTCTGTGACAATATTGTACTTTAATATAATATACCAAGGTAACTATTCCCACCAGCTCCTGGGGATGATACTGAACAGCTGCTCTTAAATTGCTTTAAGAGAAATAGTTGGATTTTATATTTTACCCTTTGAAAGTAGTCATTGAACTAAATAATCATTGCTAATAAAAGTAAATATGCCCCTACCCTTCTGACTTGTTAACTATTCACAGGAGATGGTTATTTTTGGTATTGGTTTCCTAGAAGTTATAAGAATGCAACCTCCAACATTTATGTTTGAAGAAAAAGATATAATTTTATGTATGATGTGTATACGAACTTGATTTATGGTTCAGATAGTAGCCTGTGCCATTTCCTATTACATCTGACGCAGGAATATGATTTTTCTGTGTTTTTGATTTCCTGGATAATACCGTCAGTGAATCATCTTTGCTATGAACTATTAACAATACAAAATGGATTTACAAAAATAAAATGCATTTTTGTTCTATACTTCAGAGCATGTTTTCATGGTTTTAAAGGCCTTTTAATGAAGGCATGATCAAACACAAGCTGAAGCATAATCCATAGTTACTTTGGTTGTGTTGTGCCCTTTCTTTGTTAGCCTGTTTAGGAAATGTATATAGTGATATCTGGGAGCACTTTGTTCTTTTTCCTGTGAAGACTAGATTCCTAAACCATATACAGTTAATTATTCTGGAGTCTGTAAGAAATCCAGAGTCACGCTGGATTGCATGGAGTTACGCAGTGGCTTACATTTAACTGAATTTTAGTCATAATGTGCATATTTTTAAAAGAAAAATGCAAACTACACCTTAGGGAGGAGATGAGTGATAATTCATATTCTCCTGCTTGAGAAGTGATAGCTAGAGGACTGGACATTACAAACGTTGGCCAAGTCCATAGTTAGAGTCTTGTTAGAATCCATTCGTATGGAAAATGCAGCTGTTAAATACCTGTAGTAATTGCTGGTTTTACTTTTCTCGAGTGTTCACTGCTGATGGCCTTACTATTTGCGAATCTTCCAGGCGGGTTCTTCTTTTAGTTAGGGGGAGTTGTTGGAACTGGGGAGCACACATTTTAATGTGATACACAGATCCTAAGAAATGATTTGCAGAAATAGAACAAAGTAATGTGATCCTTTGATGCACAATACCCTTGCCTGTATTAAACAGAATACAGTGAGCTTGCCAGTCAGCTAAAGCTACCGTTGATAAAAATAATTGATTAGCTGTTTCCATTTCCTTTTTGATAGTTTAGGTGCCAAGTGCTGTCTGCACTTTAAGGTTATTCTCACAAGTCTTCCAGTATTTGCAATTTAGCAGTAGTTTACAGTAGCTCCTGCTCCTCCTACCCCCCAACTTACAGATCACTCTGAAGATGTGTTTGGATGTTTTTTTTTCTATCAACCATGAAGCTTTTCCACAACAGCATACAGTTGTTTGGATGCTGACCAGATTGAGCTGACCAAGTATCATATAGCTCTAAAAATTTCCTTTTTCATTTCATTGTTTCAGAAATACATATATAATTTCCACTATAATTATTATCAGTATATTATATAGTCTGGGTAAAGAAAATCAAAGTGATTATGAGCCCTTTCAAAATAGTTAATTCACATGCTCAGATGGGCTTGTGAAAAGTCCTCCCTGTCACTTGTCTCCTAAGTATGCAAGGAAGAATCTTCTGCTTTGACTGCCTAGAGATTTTGATAATAGATTGTTTTGAAATAAGATGTCTATATATGGTAAACTGTATCAAATAGAAAAATGAGGTCTCTTGCAGTAAAAAAAAAAAAAAAAAAAAGGCTATTCCAACTTTTTTTTTTTTTTTTTAACTCTTGAGCATAGAAAAACTTCACTATTACATGTGGAAAAACTGGTCATCCCTCAGGTGAGCCTTGCAAAATCACACACCCTCTGTTCATCTGCAGTCCTTGGCTCTCCCTTCATCTTCTGCTCTAAATGTTGCTGTGAGCTATTGAGCTTTGCAGAGTTATGACAATGCCAGGTGTAGGTTGGCAGATCCATGGACAAGGGTATCCGTAACCCATTCTTCTCTTCTCGAAGCTCAGGTGGTTCTGGGTCATGGAGCCATGCAGGCAGTTGAGTAACTGCATGGTGACTGTCACTCAGCAAAGTGCTCCACTGATGATTTGATTAGAAATCTGTAACATTGGTAAGACCCCACTCTTGAGTGAACATAGGAAGCCAAGAAGCCAGTACACTTCTCTAAGTGTGTTCACTGTTTTGGAGGTTTGTGCACACACAAAAAAAACTGATTATGGAACATGAGTAGCTTTAGCAATTTTTAAATGGCCTCTTAATTAATGTCTTTGTGGGAGACGTTTCTGTGACAGCAGGTAGGCCACACACACACACACACACACACCTTGCCTCAAGTTTTGGGAATAGTATGTTGTGTGGTCTGAAGTGAACTTTTGTAGCTTATAGGCTCAACCTCTCAATCGTCATGTTTTTGAGAACTCATTTAAGTGTGCTGATATTGTGATAATGCATGCTTGCATTTCAAAACAGTGCTGGCTCTACTAAAGGGATTTTTATATTTGATTATGTTTGCTCTTACACTTCTTAGGTTGTGCGTTTATGTCAGAACCCCAAGCTGGCACTAAAGAACAGTCCTCCCTACATTCTAGACCTACTTCCCGACACTTACCAGCATCTGCGAACCATCCTGTCCTGCTATGAGGGAAAGATGGAGACTCTGGGAGAAAACGAATACTTCAGGGTGTTCATGGAAAACCTGATGAAGAAGACAAAACAAACCATCAGCCTCTTTAAAGAAGGAAAAGAAAGAATGTATGAAGAGAATTCCCAGCCTAGGTAATGCTTGTCTGTGCTGGAATTTATCTGTACCATTGGGGAAGCCCTCTTGCTTCTTTCAAAATTCCTTGTTTCGGTGTGCTTTTGCTTCATGTATACTTTTGGTTTTCCCCCTGAATGTTGTGTTTCTCTGGCAGTTCATCAGTATCAGTTGAGGATGCTGCTCTGCTTGTACACTTTCCCTGAAATCTCAATGTCAGCACTTTAATTTAAAGCCACCTACACCTTGAAGGTGCTGGGATTTGCAAGATGGGTTATGTGTAAAAATGGGTTTGGCTCGTAAACTAGTTAACGCAGTGTAAAATTTGTATTATCAAATAATCCATAACATCGTGTTATTTTAATGCACACAGTATTTGATATGTGATCTCAAAAGACTTTACAGTACCTACATAAAGCATGTCCATATTGCTGTTGCACTGCAGATAGGCAAGGTCTTGGTTGACATCAAAGCCATCCAAAATGTGTGGATCTCTGATCTGAGAGAGAACTCTATTAATCCTCACTAACTGGTAAAATGACAGATAAAAACTGTTAGCCTTATGGGCTCAAAATGAAAATAGTATTACCTACAAAGTTCTGAATATCTATACCAGCCCCTGATTACTCATTATCAAGTGCCTTCACTCTGGTATGTGGAAGAAGGTAAAAGTTTTCATTTTTGCTGCAAAATCATTAGATTTGATTAGATATATGCAGCTTTTTCTCCTTGCATATTCATTCAGTGCTTTTGGGAATTACGTACTGTATTATGAATGGCTGCAGAATTGTAAAGATATGTTGGTGTGCCCATGTAGTGCCCAGTGCAAATATGACTGTGCTCAAAACATAGTATCAAAAATACAATTAAATCACATTAAGCAAGTATAGATAGTGAGGTGATGTTAGAGGGGGATGTACATTTTAGCTTTAGGCATACTTGGCCTATTATTTTCATTAGGTAACTTGGGGGAGATGCCTTCAATATTCAGAAGCTTTCCATCAATTTATTATAATCTTTACAAGTCACCTTTCTCTGTCGGTTCTTCAGAGAGAGCTCCTATTAAAGAAGCCTAGGCCTCTGCCTGTTTTTACTTTTCGTGAGGAACGGGCCATTTCCAGCCTGTTTTAGATTTGGCAGGTGGCCGTTTTCATCTACAATGGTTACATTTTTAAATTAGAGATTAAGCTTCAAATTGACAATAGTAATTTTGAGATGGAGGAACTGCCTCTGCATGTGGATTGATGCTGGAAGATGTGTGGGAAGAGATGGTAGGCCAAGCTTTGTTCATAAAAACTGTCTCTTAACATTGATGTAGAATCCACTGCCTCCCAGTTCTGAATAGGATGCTGAGACAATTTTCTGTTGAATGTTATTTTACAAATTTAGCATTTTTGAAACTCTCTTCAAGGTAAAACTCTGAAAAATAACCTTGGGGCTTGATTGTTACCACAGCACAAGCAATACTTTCCACTTCTGCGTGGCCTACCTTTAGAATTAAGAAAGCATCAACCATTGTGGTTAAAGCCATAAATAGAGCTGGGTTCTTGCCAGAGTTCTGTGAGCTTAGTTTCATTTTAGGCTAGTAGCAGTTTCTGCTACTTGATGTAAGAAAGCCGATGTTAAGAAATTGCTGGGAAAGTGGGCTAGTTTATGTTGAGATTTTGGTGTCTTCTATCAAGGCCTTGGAAGTTGTCAAATGCCACTTCCATTTATTTGTTTAATTTAAAAAAATACATTATTTGAAAGCCATGTTTAACCTTTTCTATGGTATGTAAGTCAGTTGCTATCTCTGGATAGTGTGCCATGGATTCAATAAACCATTGGCTACCTTGAACAGTGTCAAGTGAACAGTACAGATTAAATAGTTATGGTTCAGGGAGGGGAGGCCCTTTGATACCCCAATAATATTATGAGTCATTTACTGTGTGCATTTGCAACTGGGCTAGGATTTGTTCCTAAAACTGCAGCATTCCCAGTTGCTTACTTGAGCCAAGGATGAGAAGCAGGAGACTGGAGAAGACATCTTGTTAGTGCATTGCTAGTGGTAAAGATAGATCAAGGCTTGTTTTTAACTGCCAATCTTATCCATGGATTACTTCTCAGAGAGTTCTGCAAGGGATTTGCCTGAATAATAGTAGCATATCTTCTTGAGTGTACTGCTTGATTTTGAACATGGATCATAAAAATTAATGCTTTGATCATTGCTTGGGGGGATCAAGGTTTCAGCTGTTAATGTTATGATTTTACTGTAACATGGAGGATGGTACATGAAGAGAAAGACCTGCTCTAAAGAGATGATGCTCTAGGTCTTCAATTTCTCCCCCATTTTTAATGAAAACTTAACTTGGCATAGTAGGAGGAGGTGATTAGCATTTAAAGCCAATGGTAGTCAAGGTATTGAGTTTCCTGTCTCACCCTGTAATGAGACTGGGGGGTTGGCTGTCTTAGCAAGATTTCATGCTTGTCATTAGCTGTAGGGCCTAGAGGAACAAATCCATACAGGAAAAAGCTGCAGATACCAAGTATCTTTGTATGTATGAAATGTGTGCAGCTTCGTATAGGAAGGAAGCTGATCTTATACAGGCATTTTTAAAAAAAAAAGTGGTTTTGAAATATGCATGGTTATCATGTTTAAAGCACTCAGAGCATTAGACATCCCCCCACAATGCAGAAGCAAATTGACTACTAATCATTTTGTTTCTTAATGTGAGGAACTGCATAAGGAAAACACAATAAGGCATTGTTGAGGCAGCCTATCAGAGTCTGCCATCAAAAAATTGCCTGCCCCTTCCTTCAAATTAACCATGCACTTCAGAATGTAGGGAACTTGTGCAACCTACTTCTGCATTTCAATTAGAGCTTCTTAGAGAAAATTCAAAAGCTGCCCATAGAAAAAAGAAGTTGTTTTGCTTGCCAGATTGCTACATAGGAACGTGAACTGTTTGCTGTCTAAAGAGATCCACTGGAATGAAGAAAATGTACTTCAGTGTCAGTCTGTAGTACTCAAGACAGAAATGGGGAAACGTGTCCTGTTACACATTCTGGAGTCCCAGCTTTCATTTTAAAATTGCTTGCAAAGAGTCTAAACATGGTCACAAATAAAAACATGGGTGAGCTTTTAGTGCTGAAGATCCTGATGATCAAACACCTTTCCCCAAACTAGTACCTTCCAGATAAGTAGAACTTTAGTTCCCATGACCTCAAGCCAACCATGGCTGTTGGTTGTGTTGACTAGGCAGTACGCAAATTGAAGCTTGACGTAGGTGTTTGGAGGACACCAAGTTGGGAGGTCAGGATAAAGAAATGCTGTGTTAGGTACCAAGAAGGAATAGAAGATTAGAAACAAACATTATAGTTGGTTTTTAATGTTAAAGGAAGTTCTATGGTTAAACTCAGCCTTTATTTTTGATATTGATCCATGTGCCTGCTCTGAATTTTATGCCAGTGCTTTGGTGAATTAGTCCACAAAATCAGAGTAATGCTGGATAATTCTGTACACAGGACATGATGGTGACATAATTGCATCTCTGTGAAATGCATATGCTCTGCTTAGTTTGAATATGGGTTTCTCCATATTTCTCTAGAAAGCATCTTATGCTGCTGATGGAGCAAAATACAACTTCAAACTCTGTGTTGGAAAGCTGAATTGAAATAGTTGTGCATTTATTTTTAAAAAGTTGTTTACTCTGGGAAGCAAGCTCTGAAGCTGCAAGAAGTGTATAAATGTCCATGTAGGATTTTTAAATAGGACTACTCAGCATTCATAAGGGTTGAATTCACATTAGCAGGATAGTTGTAGCTTACATGGAATATTCTGTTATAGGAATGCTATGCACCAGTTTAACTAACTCAGTGGAGTCTGATCTGTTAGACCAGAGGTGAAAAGCCATGGCCCACAGGTAGCATCATTCTGGTAAGGCCAAGGTTTCTAAGGAATGTACCCTCTCTCATATTTGACCCTTCATTTTGAAAGCAAACTTTAAGGACTTATGGTGGAGCAAAGTTTCAAAGATAAAGTTTCAATAAAAGTTTATGATTAAATTACAAGTTCCAACTAGTTACTTTCCATCCACTTCATCGTTTTTATGATTCATTCCACTTATCAAATGTGGCTGAAACATTACTATCCTCCCTTCAAAGTATAATTGGTATGTTGGTAATGTGAAATGTCTTGAACCCTTTTGAGGCAAAAAAAATATTCTCCAGCTGTAGAGACAGGTGAGCTGCTGACACATATCATGTACTTCCTCTGAGTATTGGCATTGATTAGATAACCTTCTAATAACTTTTGTCAAGAAAAGCTGACTAAATTGATTCTTCAAATGCTCCTTTGTCAAGAGATCCAATATCCATATAACCTAATTTTTCTGCGTAGGTTAACTTCCTGTCAAAAACAGACTCGTAGACTGTGCTTATGTTATCTGACTCAAGTTATTGATGCAGCAAGGAGGCACAGAATACTGAGAAAACATCACAAGTTGGTGTTACAGGCAGGACTATCAAGTCCTTTCCAGATGTAGCAAGTCTTACCTTGAGATGGAAGAATTCAACAAGATGCCTTCCGTTGTTGTTCCCATTGCCCTCTATGTGTGGCAGGGCTGAAAAGAATCCTCTCTGGCTTTGCTATCTCATTTTCTTTGAGTGGCAGAAAGGTAGGAGGAAGTAGAGCTAGTGTGTTTGTTCTGTCCCCATCCCAAAGAGACACCTGCTGCTTTTGTTCACAAGATTTTAACCTATTTAAGAATGCTATTATTAAATGTTTTCATTTGGTTAGACTGAGTCAAGTCAGGTGAAATTTCACCATTGAGAGGAACACAGAGCTAGAGAAGGAGGAGGAAAACTCTGAACATTAATTAGCTTTGCTTTAGTATACTTTTTTTAAAAAAATGTCTAGATGACTGCTCTGTCGAATTATATTGAGATGGGGTGCTGTTTTTAAAAGATTGGGTTTGGACATTTGCCAGCCCCCTTTTTCTTGCATATTTCAGAAGAAAACTGTTGATAAGGTTCTAACACTATGTTGTAGAAATCACAGCATAATTTGTCACTCAGAGATGCATATTCTGAAACTCCTACTGTGCACATGTGCAGATTTTCTGCTGAGTCTCCATCAGTCTACAAAATCGTGTTCTCAACCCCAACTAGCCAGGAACACAAACAAGCCAGGAAGAAGGGACCCATTTCCCCCCTTTGCACTGATCTTTCACACCCTTGTTTACTTCATCAGTATGATGTAAAGTGTGTACCCTGCCCCTGATTGGAGAGACTTGGCTTTCCCTCGTAAACATCTTGCATCTCTATCAGTCTGTGAATTGAACCAGTCCGCCCCTGAGCCAGCACATCTGGCTTCTCTGAGAAAAATGGTGTGTGTTTAAAGTTAATAACACAGCAGATCAGTAGAAAGGACATGCATTACCTTTCTGCGGGGGTAGCATTCTTGTTTCCTCCCATCCATCTTGAGTTTGGACATTTTGAATAAACAGTGCTTGCAGAATCAGACTTGCTTACACAAGCTGTCCCCAGGTACATGTTCGGTCTTCCTCACAAAATGTAAACAAGGAAGCATCATTGTTATTTTTAGACAGGATATTTATGTTTTTTCAAAGGTCTCTTGTGCTTTTAAACCCATTCATAACATTGGTATTTATTAAGAACTCAAACACTTCTGTTATTATTATTTTTTTCTGCTTACCAAATCAGCAGTCTTCAAACTTGTAACCTATCTTTTTAAACATGGAATCATTTTGTCACAAAACCATTTGTTTACTTATATTAACATTTTAATTTTGCAAAGAATTTTACTCTAATTGTAAGATAGTGTACGTGTGTTATTTTTAGAGCTAAGGTTGAAATAGTAATGGCATGCTTAATTCTAATGTTAGTTTGAAACTTGCTCAAGCTCTCTGCTAGAGCTGCTTTTAAATGTGCAGAATATATTAGCTCCAGCTAATTAGCTATATTGGCTCTTCTCTTAAAGAAGTATATAGCCCATCAAACAAATTCCTTAGACTCTCTTAAGGGATATTGTAGAAGATCACAAACCTTATTTGGTGCCATAACATATAAATGGTATCCCACATACCTTTAGTATGCAGTGTACTCTATCTGCTACATATTTTTAAAAAATGTTATACCCAGAAGAGAGAAATGCTGTGAAATGTTTACAGGCTATATAAGTGCAGATTATTTTTGTTTCCCCTTCCTTGAATTAGCTTCTGCTAGTCATATGAGCGAAATTAGCAATGTAAGGTAGTGAACGTTCACTAACTGCAGGGAGATTTCCTAATGCTTTTCTACTTGAAGCTGCCTTGTATTCAAGAGAGTTAGGATGTCTAGCTTTTTTCCTTCCAAGAACATAATCTGAGAATTTTACTTCTTCTGGGTTTGTAATGGTTGGCTTGATGTGTAATTTCAGGAAAGGTAATGCAAAGCAGACATGCTTTCTGTGGAGGCATCAGCTGAGATTGGGGGCAGCCTTTCTGCTGAATATAATAGCTCAGTTATTTGACTTAAAAACTGTGTTTTTCAGAAGAACTTGTGGGAAGTTTTGAAGGAACTAGTTGGATGTGTTAAATTATGGTTTTAAAGATTTACTGGTGCAGAGAAGGATAGAATGGGTTGACATATGAGTGACTTCTGCAAGACAGGCTGTTATCATGGTAGAATGTTTTTATCCAGCAAACAGGAAGCCGGAAAGGAACAGCCTGCTTCAGGTCAGAGGCAAAGGCAACAGAAAGCTGAACTCAGGAAAATGAGGCCCTGTTAAAGGCTGCAGTGGGGCTAGAGTGCTTGGTTGACCTCTTGACTTTTTGCAAGATGTCTAGAGCCAAAAAGTAATGAAGAAGGAAAAGGACAGCCAAGCAGAGAGAAGTGAAGAGCAGAACATCCTTTGCTTTGATGCGGCATATTTAATGTGGTGTGTTTAATTTTTAATTCTGTTGTCTGGTTAAACTATTTTGTGTTCAGTGATTGATGCTTGCATTTTGAAAGACTGGATGCTGTAGAGTACAAAGTCTCAACTCCTACCTCCTTACATCTGAAAGTCACCACCCTAGCACAGAGTCAAAACGTGTATCTCACAAGCCACCGGGCAGCTCGTTTCAGTTCATATTTTTAGAACGTCCAGAGTGATTGACTATCCGGAAACATTAACTTCACTCATGCTTTGTGGGCTCTCTGTCGTGTAATCTCACAGTCATATTTGATTCACTGGTAGGTCTCCCGTGGTGAACTTGAGAAGGTATGTTCTCTCTCCTAATTGAGAGAAAGAGTGGTGCTAAAACAGTAGCAGAGAAGGTAAATAATCATCAGGAATAAATGCTCTCACAGCTAACTGCCTGAACATTTAAACCGGAGAAATTCCATCACAACTATACTTGGTAGATAAGAATACTCTCTTTACCTGCTCCTTCTGGGTATAAGCTTAACCAGAAAGTGCCTGGCATATCGCTGATGCTTTATAAAGGTCTGTCAATAGAACCCATATCATGCTTAATGTGTGCTGACTGGTGCTTCTTCCAGAGGCTCTTGCATTTGATACTTAAAACACAATTTTGCATAAATAAAATGTTCAAGCCCAACATGGTTGTGGAGCTACAAAGGTAATGGATACCTGTTCCTTCTTTTCCTTTCTTGAAACAGAAGTAGCCATATCAGTCAGCCTCTCGTTAATTAGTCCAGAGATAATATTGCTTTAAGGTGAGGAAATGATGTGATAACGCTAACCAAAGAAGCAGTCCTTGGTTAGAAGTAAAATCTTGGGAGGGGCTTTAGGAATCTATAGGTTTGAGGGTTCTTCCCTGACTTTCTACCTGTGTGAGTAGAATAAGCTGTGTACAGTGTTAGCTTCCCTTTATTACCCCTTGATTTAAAAGCACCCCAAGCAGCTGCTCCCATTTCTTGATGTTAACTTAAAAGCGAAGGGCAGTAAGAGTGGAGGAAGAATCTTATCCTTTGAAGTCAGTTGTCATCTGCCACTGTTGATTAGACCAGTTGCAGAGGAACCTCCCTCTCGCTAAGCCCAGGCATTGGCGTTGATAATTCCCTTAGGGAAGCAGTCTCCTTTGTACCCTAAATTCACCCTTTTCTTGTAAACGTGAGAGTTCTCACGTTTTCTTGAGAACATGAGAGTACATGCGCAGAAGGTGACTGTTGTGCATTCAAATATCAAGATTGAATTAAAGAACCAAGTAAACACATCCTTGAAATAGTAGTGCTAGTGTGGCAGGCCTCTATGCTTCTGAACACTTTTGCTTGTTAACACTTGAAAATCACAGACCATCCCTAAGGGTAGAAATCACAGAAGACTTTTCCAAATAATTTATTTTGTTAATTTTAATCTTCCTGTTTAAGCTAGCTGGGTGGGGGAGGGGCGGTTTAGAAATCCATGTTGCTGTTCTTTAAATCTCAAAAATCCCAGATCATATGGGGGAAGAAAAGAGAATACATCTCAGCCAATTCAAGCTGATAACATCCTGCTAATGTGACTCCCTGTTGACACCTCAGTGAGGCCTTTCTCACTGAGCTGAGAGAGACTTGGTTTTTCTTTCATGCTGAACTCCTAAGAAATGCTTAAGATTTGGTCTTTCAAGCTGTTTTGGAAAAGTTATTCTCATATCTATGTGCTAAAGTTTCATCTCCTTTCCCTTCCTCCCCTCTCTTCTCCTTCAGCCTGGAAGAAAAAAAAATCAAACGTTCTCCCCTTTTTCATCTAAAATCAATTTCCCAAACCTTATAGGCCATTTTGAAGTACAAATGTTGCTTTATTTTATTTATTAAATTCTTAAAGGAGAGATGAAAGAATTACCCAAGTTCTCTGGGGATTCTTTCAGTCCAGAGAGATTCTTCCTAGAAGATGCAGTCTCCCTTTATTTCTTTCTTCGAGGAAGCGAAGTCCAGTTTTCAGTTATCCAAGCCAGTGGATTGCATTGATCCTTAATTTGCTTAGTACGTATACTTAAATTATGGTACGCGATTCTTTTGAATGTCATGTCTGGAGGTGGTAACTATATAATGAACACTGATTGAAGGACTTGTAACTTCTACCTAGGTCATAATTTTTTTGCCTTACTTCAAGCACTTTAGCAATCCTTCTATTGCATTTTCTGAGTTAGTAACTAAAATACCTAAAGAGATAAAGAGGGCTTGTAAAGTAAAGCTAAATTTCCAAACTGCTGTGAATTAGAATGCATTGCCACTGATGTCTCCCTGTTAGAAAAATCAATCCAGAATGTGACTTGAAAAATCAAAGTTCCCTTTTCTCCTCTCGTTCCCTGGCTGCTGCTTTCCCATTTCAAGGCAGATTTGCTTTTCTGATCTTGCAGGCGCAACTTGACCAAACTGTCTCTGATCTTCAGCCACATGCTAGCGGAACTGAAAGGCATATTTCCAAATGGACTCTTCCAAGGAGACACCTTCCGAATTACAAAGGCAGATGCAGCAGAGTTCTGGAGAAAAGCTTTTGAGGAAAAGTAAGCAGAATTTCCAAAATAAACTTTTAGGCCTCCAGCAGTTCTTTAGGCAGCTCATAACTCGAGTGGATCGTCTGTCATGGTTTTGGCATATCCAACATATGTGAAATGGAACCTCAAACCTCAAAGCACCCAGTACTTTCAGGGCTGGGTGAAACCATTCAAGTATTTCTTTGAAAATATTCTAAGTCCGACTGTAGCCACCAGCAGCATAAGATTATGAACAGCAAAAAAAAAAAAAAAAAGCTTTATGGTAGTCTTCAGTCTTACCCTTCCCTTGATATGGAAGTGTTGACTTTGGGTACAAAATTTGTTGATGGTGCCTGTGTTAATGTTAAGATAACTTTAGATTGAACCAAATACAATGAGGAATAAACTGTGAAACGGGCTCCTGAGAATATTGATCCTATAAACTCTACACTTCTAACCTGTGCTCCAGTTCTGTAGGTCCTAAAGCTTGCTTAGATCAATCTTCCTGTATTCACTGAAGGTGGAAAGGGGACTTGATGTTTCGCTTGGCTTGAGGAGGCTAGACTGCCATAACTTTAGATGTTTATCTCTAGAGATTAATTTTGGTTGCATTCCAGAATCATGTTCTTTCCATATGGACTTCAATTTATGAATTATGCATGGCATATCTACAAATTAGGACTTAAAAATATGTGCACTCGTAACCTTGCTTGTAAGCAGTTGGTCTTCCTTCATTACTTCCTTCATTTAATATATCAGTACAGTTACTTAGATGTCAGAGATAGACACAATTATGTTGCATTCCTTTATATTGCAACTACGTCAGTAGCTGCTTTAATCAGTTACTGAACAAATTAAGAATTAGAGCTGATGTCTGCTTTCAGTAATCGTAAATCATTTCTCTTAAACAAGGCAGGTCATTTTTGGAACAAATGTACCTGCGTTTGTCTATTTCCATCCCTTGTGGTTGTGAATCTGTATGCGTGGACAGAACATGCATTAACTTGGATGGTTTTAAGACAGTTTAGACAAATTCGTGGGGAAAACTACTATATAATGTCCAGTATCAGAAGTGATGTGTGCTTGAATATTTATTGCTGGGAAGCATGTGCGCTCAGGGACTTCCTAGAGGGATCTGATCGGCTGCTGTAGGAAACAGAATGTTGGATAGAAGAGGCTTTTTGTTTGATGCTGTGCGTGTTTTAAGTTCCTGTGATGCAAAAGAGGTAATCTCCGTATTTTTTATCCCACTGCCAGGACCGTTGTCCCATGGAAGACCTTCCGCCAAGCCCTCCATGAAGTTCATCCTATAAGTTCAGGCCTGGAAGCGATGGCGTTGAAATCAACTATTGACCTGACATGCAATGATTACATTTCAGTGTTTGAATTTGATATTTTTACTCGTCTATTTCAGGTAAGCTTTTTTTTTTTTTAAAGCCATGGCTTTCCTAAATACAGATGTTGCTTCACCACTGAAACAGCTTTCTCTTTCTTCTGTCACAATGGCCAGTCTTCATCTCCCTGACTTGTACAGGCTCAGTCTTCAACCGTTCCTTCTCTCCATCTACAAGTTTCCTTGCCTCTGTAATCTCTGTGGTTTCTGCTGTCATTTTAGATTTCTGGGAGCAGGAAGATTTAAACACTGGCGTGAGAGAGAGCTGGGAAGAGAAAGTTGTCATGCCCCATTGGAGTGCAATTAAATTCTGCACTGCAGTTTTAAATGTGATATCAACTTAAGAATAATCAATGTTGGATGTGGCTGAAGTCATCTTATGGAGGGGATGTGACTGCATGAGAAATAGAAAAGGCCTCATCCAGTTAAATTGTTTTAGCAGGTTCCTGGATGGAGGAGCTACAGTAGGAAGGGCTGTTTCCCTGTTGAAGTGAGTGCTTACCTAATAGTTTTTCCCCCCCACCCCAGCCATGGTCTTCTTTGCTCAGGAATTGGAATAGCCTTGCAGTGACTCATCCCGGGTATATGGCATTCCTGACATATGACGAAGTTAAAGCACGACTTCAGAAGTTCATTCACAAACCTGGAAGGTGAGTGTCTTAAAGGCAACATTTCTAATGTCAATTCATGTTGTTATATTTAAGCATTTTATATCAAAAATAGTTGACACCAGGGTTGTCCTAAATTGGAAACTTTGTAAATTGCAGTTGCAGGGTTAGGCATATTAATCCTAAGTTCCCTCCAAACTTAGAGCAGTACCCTTTTTTGGGGAAAGAGAATGATGGTTTTCATTGTTGGAGGTTTGAAGCCTAGGGCCTTTCCTTTAGAAAGTTGGCTTTTCCTATATGATGATCAAGCCAACTTGGAGTATCAAAGAAGTGAGGGTCATCTTTGCAATGATAGTTAATGCACGTTGAAAGAAGTGTTCAAATAATTATGACTCTCATTATGGGGAAAGCTTATTGAGAGATTCTCTGCTGTCCTGTCTTTCAGAAAAGGCTTCATAAATAGGTAGTTCAAATTCAGCTACATATTTGTTCAGCTATCAAACTCTGTGTATTCTCTTTTTTTTTTTTAGTTATATTTTTCGTCTGAGTTGTACCCGACTTGGTCAATGGGCAATTGGTTATGTCACTGCAGATGGAAATATCCTCCAGACAATACCCCACAACAAACCCCTTTTTCAGGCACTGATTGATGGCTTCAGGGAAGGCTTGTAAGTGATTTGTTTTTGTGCAGGGTCACAACTCTTTTTTTTTTTTTTTCCTTTTTCACTTAACGTGTCTGTAATCGAAAAGCAGAGAAGAAAAGAGGAATTCAGTGTCTTCTGTCGTAGAGAAGCTGAAAGGCCTCTGAAACATCATAGCTCTTTCTCTAAGATTTTAGATCATTTGCACTCTCTAATAACATGGCCCTTCTGCTTGTCCTAATATAACTCATCTTATAATGCACCTGAATTCAAGATTATTTACAGTTCTTAGATATACAGCAGATTTAGTTTCTCTTTCCAGCCCCATGGTGTTTCACACACGGGCATCTGTAACAAGCCGCAGCTACATCAAAAGGACGGTGGGTGTGGCTGGGCTTCATTGTGCAAAAGATGCAATTATGGACTTGTGTGATGATATTTGATGCCAACAGGTGTGTTGTATAATTTGCATGATGATGTCATGGTGCATGTGACGTCATCTCCAGGCCACCTAGAGCAAATCATGACAAGCTTACTTAAAATACCACACCTTTGATCGGCTAAAGGATTGCAACAGATGTAGCTATGAGTAGGTTGAAGCTGAGAGACATGTTCTGTTTTAAGAAACAGAGGAATCACAACTCAACATTTATTTTCCCCATCTGGGGCTTTGTAAGGGCTCTCCTTTTAAAACTTCTTCATAATTAAATTTATCTGATAATTCAACCCTCCCCAAGAGTGGCATCTCTCCCATTTGTTTGAGACTCTGCTCTGTTCAGCTATTTCTTCTGAAATAAATAATAATCTTTTCATCTCTCCTCTGTAGTTACTTGTATCCTGATGGAAGAAACCAGAACCCTGATCTGACTGGCCTGTGTGAGCCCACACCACAGGATCACATTAAAGTTACACAGGTGAGCAGAGACCACCGATTCTTTTCCATTCCTTGCGTCTAGTCCTATGATAAAAAAGGGATTTATGGAGTCTACGTTTGGAGAAAAGGGTCATGAACCCACAGTTAGATGCTGGAGTAGTTAGGCATATGGGTCAGAGAGCACTTTCATTTACTTAGATTTCCCTTCTCTTCCAGCGCCTGTAGTCCTTGCAGTCATGATTTAAGAATCACACCCTGTTCTGTTAATGATACCCCTACGCTTTGGAACTGGAAATAAGTAGCTGTCAATTTTTTTTTAAAGTGTTGCAGGCTTTAACCTTTCAGTGGCCATCGTTGAAGCTAAAAGCTGTCCAGACTGTTTCCAGGAAGGTGTTTTTAGATCTACCTCCTTTTTCTTCTTACCCTCAGGAGCAATACGAATTGTACTGTGAGATGGGCTCCACTTTCCAGCTCTGTAAAATCTGTGCAGAAAATGACAAAGACGTGAAGATTGAACCCTGCGGTCACCTCATGTGCACCTCTTGCCTCACATCGTGGCAGGTATGGGATTTCTCCCTTTCAGAGCCCCGCTTCTTGGAACATCAGCCCTTTGCAGCCTGTACAGAAAGCAGAGTTGGCCAGTTTGCCTGGCTGGGCCTGTTGCATCAGTACCGCTGCTATCGCCAGCTTTACAAAAGGCATCTAGAATGGGTGCTTTTCTGTAGGCCTTGTCAACCTTTATGCAGGTCAGCAGTTGTGCACCCAGGGTTTGTGCAGCAAGAGGGAGTGTTGCAAATGTGGAGTGGCTGACTCGTGCAGCTACCTTGAAGGTGGCAAGGGTATTTGTGTGTGTGTGTGAGAGAAAGAGAGAGAGAAAGAGAAAGCATGCAACGTGTGCATTATTTTATCTTTCTCTTTCTTTTGCTGTTCTTGTAAGGCCTCTAGTCTTACACAAAGGCTAGTTAATTTCCTACTGCAATAGCAAGTTGTAAGTTCAACCTTTTGTTCTTCCCTCCTGTGTGTCAAGTAATCTTGCTGCCAGATTCCACGGGGTGGCCCTGAGTGAATCACTTGGTCCCTATGTTCCTCCCCGGTCTCTACCTACAGGAATCGGAGGGGCAGGGATGTCCGTTCTGCCGGTGTGAAATTAAAGGCACAGAACCTATTGTAGTGGACCCTTTTGATCCCCGAGGAGGGGGAGGGCTTCTGCGGCAAGGGGCAGAGGGGGCCCCCTCTCCAAACTACGATGACGACGATGACAGAACAGATGAATCACTCTTCATGATGAAAGAGCTGGCTGGTGCAAAGGTAAGACTGGACTGTTGGTCTCTTCTATGGAAGTAATATGAATCTGGATGGATGGATGGATGGATGGATGGATGGATGGATGGATGGATGGATGGATGGAT